AAGTAGATGAGGGGGAGGAAAAGGCCATCAGGAGGGCACGGCCACACACAGACCCCATTTCACAAGCGAGGAAAGTGAAACTCTGAGAGGCGCGGTGACTTTTCCAAGGTCATGCAGACTTGGAACCTGATTTCAAGGTCAAATGCAATCCTCAAGCAAGGACGGCAATTGTGCTTTCACTTGGCAGTGACTGGCCCCAAATTTCCCCGTGGTGGTTACTGGCAGTAAAGGGCTGTGAGGGCTCAGGATTTTACAATGAGCCTATTCCCAAGCCCTAGGTTGATCTCCTTCCCAGAAGAAAGTTAGTGTCATCAGGGAGGGCCGTACAAATTAGTGTCATCATCAGTTTCTAAACCAAGGAGGGACTGACATGAAGCATTCTCTTTGAATATGCAATATCTGAAAAAACCGTGGCAACACAGACCACAACCAAATTGCCTAAGAAATCCGTCAGTTGGTGACATTTGGGGTTCCTGAGGATGGCATCGTCTGCCTTCCTTTTCTGACTCAACGTTCTTTCTCAGTCTTACACCTTCGGATGCCTGGCTCGAACCCGTCTGACCCACTTCTGAGACACCTTTTGGCTCGTCGTAGAAAGCTGGACCGTTCACTTGGGTCCCTATTTGTGAATGTGGACTCAGGCGTGTGCCTAATGTTCAGAGATGAATAGAGGCTGAAATCCCCATGAGAGGTGTAAGCGCCTTGAGATGATTTGAAAAGCCACAGTGAGCGCTGAGGCACACAGACACACGTTAGGAACGGCTTCTCGTCACCACAGTCGGGCTTCCAGCAACCACCTCGCTGAGGGGAAAATTCAGACTGAAGAGTGACTTGAGCCTGTCCCTGGCATGGCCTGCTCCGGCTCTCCCAGCCCTGCCCTCCAGGGAGGCCCAGCCTTGACGGACTGTCCTCCAGCTTTGCAGACGGAGAGCCGGGAGAGGTGGGAGGTGGCCCAGAGGCTCCTGGGAGCTGGGACTGGAGGAGGTTTCTCAGGTGTTGGAGATAAGAGAGACTCCAGTGAGTGAACAAGGTGGGCAGGAGAGAAAGGTGGGAATTTTAAACGAGCTCTAAATACTCCCCTTCGTGGTATTCAAGAAAGGCAAACAAAGATCTCGAGTGACTTTGAGATATGCAGCAATGCTACCCCACAGTATGGGACAGAGGAAGGACCGAGTAAAGCCCTTTTCATGGGCTAATCTCCCCAGGGAGTGACAGGCAGCCACGGCTACCAAGTGCTGCTTTCTGCACCCCTTAGTGTCTCCTAGAGAGGGGCCCGGTCCCAGGTTTGAAGAGGCTTCTGAGAAACGTGTCCGGCTCTCACTTTTCTGTCCTTCACGTGGCCTGGAGCCCGAGGGGGCCTGAAGGGCTCTTCTGCCACAACCCAGAGCAGCCTGCTGGGTGCTCTGCCCTCAGCTCACTCACCAGAGCACAACAAAGCTATTCTTTACCGCAGTTTTTAACCAGATATCCCACCCTCAATATGTAGACTTTTTTCAAAGTTTAAAAAAGTACTTTTTTTTTTTTTTACTATATTTACTTTTGTTTTTTTGTCTTGGTTTATTTTATTTTGTTTTGCTATGTTTGCCCTGCAGAACATAGACCCCCACACAGCTGTGCTGCCCTCCATGGGAGGAATTAACAGCGGAGACAGAATTCATGTGCTACCCTTCGGTCCAAAGAAGACATTCCTCTTCTACAGCGGGACTGGGACGTATTTCCATTTTCCTGAGCCAGCCACCTGCTCCCCCACACACCCTCTTGTGACCAATAACACTTGTGTGTAGCTAGTGACAGTAAAGTTAAGGGCTACAGCTTGGGGATCTGTGCACGGGTGGAGCCACTGTCCTGGCCTCCTTGACACTGTGTTTCTCAGAAAGACTGTTCTTGATGAGGTGATCCGCTAGTGGTACTTAAACCGGAACTACTCTTTGGCTCCACAGAGACACAGAAGGGAGTGCTCTCCCATGGAAGGGCTGGGTTTCACATCAGTTATTCCCATTTCCCAAAAGAGCACCTGGCACAATTGGTCATGTGACACAGTATAGGGACAGCAGAAGAGGCTAGGTGAACAGAAAGGCCCTCCACAGTATAAGGGCCTCCCAAAGAGGTCGACATCTATCCCCTGGAGCCTGTGAATATGTTACCTTACATGACAAAAAGGACTTTGGAGGTGTGATTAAGAATCTGAACTTGGGGAGGGGCATCTGGGTGGCTCAGTCGGTTAAGCATTCGACTCTTGATTTCTGCTCAGGTCATGATCTCACAGTTCATGACTTCAAACCCTGCGTCAGGCTCTACATTGACAGCATGGAGCCTGCTTGGGATTCTCTGTCTCCCTTGATCTCTGCCCCTCCCCAACTCATGCGTACGTACGCCCTCTCTCTTTCTCTCTCTCTCTCTCTCTCAAAACAAATAAATAAACATTAAGAACAAAAAGAATCTGAACATGAGGAGATGATCCTGGATTATGCAGGTGGACCCAATGTAATCATAAGGGTCCTTATAAGTGAAAGAAGAAGTCATGAGTCACATTACAATGGAAACAGTATCAGAGTAATATAGCATGAAAGAAGCTTAACTAGCCAGTGCTGGCTTTGAAGGTGGAAGGGACCACAAGCAAGAGAACACAGAAGCCTCTAGAAGCCAGCAAGGGCAAGGAAATGGATTCTTCCCTGGAGCCTCCGGAAAGAATACAGCACCTCTGGACACCTTGATTTGAGCCCCGTGAGACCCATTCCAGACAGATGACGTCCAAAATTGTAAGATAATAAACCTGTGTTGTGGTAAGGCAACTGAATTTGTCATAATTTGTTACCGAGGCCACCGGAAACGAGCTACTTTCCTTGAAAACTCCTATGCTTCCCAAAACAGGAATGAGATCTTACTCCTCTCCTTGTGACCCAGCAGCAACGCCTTGGCCATGGTAGAGCTTCACAAATATTTGGGGAAGGTCCTGTCCAAGTCGCTCACTCACAACCACCCACATAGTTACTTGGGACTTACAACAGAGTGTCCCCTAGTGTTTTCTTAAGTGAATGCACCTGGCTTGGACGAGAAGCTTCTTGAGGGGAAGAACCCTCGCTGTTTGGCTGGCACATGCGGTCTGAACACAGGACCATGCACTAACTGAGCCGAAAGTGCCCTCTGGGGTTATCTGGTAACACGACGCTAGACCCAAGACTGCTTCGGCAGCAAAGGGGAAGGAAGAAAGCACTCAAAGGACATTCCAACTCTTCTGTGGGAAGTTTCCAGGATTAATACAGGCTGGGAAGGACCTTCCCTGACCCTCATCTGAAGACCCTCTCTCTTTTTAGGGCCCAGCCTTCCTGCTCCCGGGAAAGAGTCTAACGTGTCATTTATGCCCACTGTGAATTTATACCAGTGGGTCACCTCTCCCTGGAGTACGTGCATCCTCAATCTGTTCTCGGTTCACTGTGAAAGGGTTTCCAGAGATTGCTGTCCTCCCCCCCCCCCCCATTATACCTCGGTCAGCTATGCCGTCAGTGCCCCCAGACTCGCCTTGTGGAGACAAGCTGTGGCAAGAGAGCAGGCGGGGAAACATTAAACTAAAATCCCCAATTACTTGCACCAACTCTGTGTATAGACGAGAGGTCAGAACTGTCACCAATTCTTTGCACAGGCCCTCGGATGCTTGCGAGGCCAGTTCCTGATATGGGGCAGTTCCCAATCCTGGCTATGAGATTATGTGGGATAGAGAGTGGAGAGCAATGGAAGAGTTTAGGATAAGTCCCAGGTTCCTGATGTGGTGATGAGAAAGGTGGTTAGCTCTATTAACTGCAATTGAAGACAGCGAGAAGAGAGTCTCAGGGTGAACACACACTGTCACAGCCATGTTGCATCCAAGCAGCCTACAGCAGACCCACTTGGAGACATCTAAGCAGACTTTCGAGATATGGGGTCAAGGGCCTGCGACTGAGGTCTTGCCTGGAGCAATCAGTGTGGGCAGCTGATGCTGAGAGAACAGGTTAATAGATCAAATCTTCCAGGATGGGAAGGAAAAAGGGCAGAGTCTGAAAGCCCAGTCAACACCAACATTTAAGAAAACAGGCCGAGGGAGAAAAGGTAGTGAAGGAACTGAGAAGAAAGGTGGTTAAGAGGGTCAAGTGGGAAGTGTGGTCTTTTGGAAGCTAAAGACCTTGAGGAAGGTCTCAAGGAGGGAAGGGTTAGGGAGCCTGGGTGGCTCTCAGTCGGCTAAGCATCTGACTCCGGCTTAGGTCACGATCTCATGGTTCATGGGTTCGAGCCCCACATCAGGCTGTCTGCTGTCAGCTCGGAGCCTGGAGCCAGCTCCGGATTCTGTGTCTCCCTCTCTCTCTGTCCCTCCCCCGCTTGCGTGCACTCTTTCTCTCTCTCAAAATTAAACATTTAAAAATCTATTTTAAAAAAAGGACGGAGTCAATGGTGTCAAATGTTCAGCAAGGTCATGGTTGATGAGACTAGAAACAGGCCTCTGGATCAGGCAGTGCCAGGGCACTAGTGGCCTCAGTGGGAGCAGCTTCCATAGGAAGGGTGCGTGTGTGTGCGTGTGTGTGTGTGTGTGTGTGTGTGTATGCGTGCAGGCACCTTGGGTGGGGAGGGAGCAGTAGAAACAATATCACATGGGACTGAAGAATAAATAGAACTGAAGACGTGGAGAGAGCAGGTCTCTCTTTAAGGAGCAGGGAAGTGAGGAAGGAAAGAAATGAAGTGGGGTGGTAGCTTGAAAAGGAATTGGGATCAAGAGGAAGTTTTGTTTTATTTTGTTTTGATTTATAATGAAAGAAATCGAGAGTGAGGAACAACCAGTGGATGAGGGAGAAAGCAAGATGTCGGCGAGTGAAGAATCAGAACACTGGGCTGAAGGACGCAGCGGAATTAGACTTGTGTGTCCAAATCGGTGATGACCAGGACATGACCTTGGGGCCGCCACCGCAGTGCAAGGGCAGAAGGTGGCTCCTCTCCGTGGCCTTAATGTGGCTCTGCCCCAATCACAGGCTCACCTCGTGGAGTTTGTCAGCCTTCTGGGTCTGCTTCTTCCGACTTCTCTGAGCAGCAACTCGGTTTTTTTCTCTCCTTCGGACCTTCCGGTCATCGTCCTCCGGACTCTGGGGGGAAATGTCTGGTCAGGTGTGCTGTCCAGGCCCCCTGCCTCACCCTCCTCAGCCTTGCCTCTTTCCTCTGCATGGCTCATGGAGCTTCCCCGTTTTACCTGCAGTCACAGCAGAGGACCTGCTGCTCACCGCGTGCCGTGGCTGAGCTTAGCTACCAACCCCCGTGACCACCCTGACAAATGCGTGGTGTGACCGCCATTTAACAGACGAGGAATAAGAAACTCAGAGAGGTTAAGGAACTTGCTCCAGGTATAACAGCTAGTAAGCGGGTAAGTGGGAAGTGGAACTCAGGTCTGTTGGACTCCAAACCAACGTTCATAAACCTCTACCCCACAGGGTGTGTGCCTGGAAGAGGTGTGGTGTCAACGTTGTCCATCTGAGGACGGGAAAGGCAGAAGGCATCTGCTGTCTGGAAACTGCCACGTGCGAGGTCTGACGCCACCACACAAACAGGTACTTCGATGCGTGCAAATCACATCACGCTTGTAACTACTTGCAACCACACAACTCTGCCAACACACCAGATGATCTTAAACACCACAGACAATATGCTCATTTGAACAATGCTTGATGGCCATTTTGTTCCACGGGTCAGAGTGAATCAGAAAGCAGACTGATGATGTGTCTTGAGAGCTCTTAGCGCTCTGTATGAGATTTAACCAAACCGAGTCAAATCCTTTAAGAGTTATCCTGAAACAGGCAGGCTCACAAAATACACCTACCAAGGTAAAAATATCTCAGTTATAGAAAAAACATGGAGAAGTAGAGACTCTTTGCCTTCCAGAACCCTGTGAGAAGGTACCAAGCGGGGGGCGCGGGGGGGGGGGGTGAGTATGCTACCTTTAAACAGTTTAAAAGCTAAGAGGTTAGTTAGTAGGATACAAACACAGGAAAGCTACTCAATTATTAATATTATTGGGAAGCAAACATTAATATAAAATAATGGGTAACTGCAGTTATCATTTTATATGGTCTTGTATTCCAATATGAGAGACATATGTTTCCCCCCAAGTTCCAGTGGGCAAAGAATTTCCAGTATACGGAAGAATCTAAGTCTACAGAAGGACACAAACAACACACATAAATAATATAACAAATGGACGCGGTCTGAAGGTAGTGCTTAAGGGAACAGGCACAAGGGGTCAAAGCATAGTTTTTTAGAGACAAAGAAGTCTTGGTAAACATAACCAGAACACCACATGGGCAAAATGTGGTGTACAGGGCAGACTTTCAGCTTAGAAATACGTGGCTCCTGGTTTTGTCTCTTGCTGTCATTATAGCCTGGGGGAAAGGGCTTACATTCTCTGAATGTTCAGTTTTCTCATTTATTGTAAGTGTGAGTCATTCATTGTTTCACTAAGTATTAAATGAGTACCTGCCATGTGCCAGGCACTGTTTTAGGCACTAGAGAGACATGCCCTGAACAACTGATGGGTAATCACTGTAGCAATCATTCTAACAGCCTAACGCCTGGAACGAGCATAGGACAAAGTGAGATTTTATCCTAAAGCTCCCAGCACATGGTGGTACGCCCTCAGCAACCTCTGTAGAGGTCGCTGCTATTTTTGAATTCCCCATAGTGCTTGTCACCAAATCACGCCTTTTTGTCCTCAATCAAAAAGTCACAGGGCACAGGGAAGCAGCCTGTGTCCTGCCCTCTGGGAGGGGACACTCTATACCTATCCATATGCTCACACCTGACAACCCAGCAGTAACATTTAATCAAAACAGAAAGGAGAGCAAAGTGTTGAGACAGCCATCAACTATTAACCATATCTTAATTAATCCTCATAAAAATCACGAGAGGTTATTATTATATTCATTTTACAGGGGGGGAAACTGAGGCTCGAAGATGTTAAGCAAAATGCCCGAGGCTACTCAGCGTGCGTGTGGTAAAACCGAGGTCCAAACTCAGAAATGTGTGACTCTTGAGAGCCACCTGATGACACCGTGTACCAGGCATCAAATTGGGAAGGGGAGCATAACAATGAGTGGGAAGTTCTCTGATGGCCATCCCCGCGGGCAACCTCGTCTCAGATTCCTAAGTACACAGTTGTAAATGTGGCCCAGGACAGCACAGAGGACTGGATGGGGGCCAAGGGGTTTCCACCAGCGCTGGGGCTGGAGTCCGCCCACTGCGGGCCCCCACCCCGCACCCTCAGGCACGGGTCTTGAGTTCCCCATTCGGACCGTAGATGTTGGAAGTGCCTGGACACGAGCTGCCCCTTCGGGCTGAATTTCCCCCTCTGCGCACCCTGGCGCCCGGGAAGGGCCACGCGCGCCGGCGGTGGGGTGGCAGCGGGCGCCAGCGCAAGGATGGCGACACCGGGACAGCGCGGATCCCACGTGCGGGGAAACGTGGACCGTGCCTGGGTCCCCGCGCCCTCCAGTCTCTCCGCTTCCCGGGCCACAAGAGACGGGTCACCATTCCGGACGCCGCGGGCACCGTGCGTGAGCGGAGGACCGCCGGACAGAGGCGCACGCCGGGGGGCCCTGGACCCACCCCACGCCCCCACTCCTGCTGGTCGCTGGCTCCCGCAGCGCCTTCCACCCCGACACTCAGCGGTCACCACTCCAGAACCCCAGACCCACCCACCTCCGCGTGCCCCTCGGCGCCCCCATCCCCGCAGGCCCGCGGACCTCCCTGAGCCTCCTTCAACTACCTGCGGCTGCGGCTGGTGCCC